TTCTCCCGTTGTAAAAAGGGGAGCGTGATACGGATTCTTCAAGATTGTCATCAGAATGAAATGAGATTGATGTATGTATACCCCCAATAAGAGATAATGATTTCTATCCTCATTATTGTCACCGTGGCTTTTATTTTCAAGCTTTTGTTTGTTTAGAGTCTCAGTTTCTTTTAGATCTGGCCCAATTTTTTAGGAATAGAATTTGGGTCTATACCCTCATTAATGTAAATTGCAATTCTAGCATTGTCTGCTGAACCTCTCATCATGAAAGTACCTCTGAGCGAAATCAATTCACACATGCATTGTACACACCCAGTTAGTAACCACAAAATCTTCAGATCAAACAAAAATAACTCCTGGCATCTTTAGACAAATCGGTAATATCCTTGATACGTGTGTATCTAGGGAATACTTTCTAGTGAAAATGGACCATTCTGTATTATCACTGAACTCACAGAAAAATTTAGGAGCTAGAAGGGACCCTTGGCGGAGTCTGAGGTTGACTGACATCAGCAGGTGGACCGGTGTGCAGGGATCTGGACAAAACCAGATGTCACTGTCCGCGTTCCCACTCAATGCTGGTTCCCAGGCCTCCGCTCCTGTGTTAGAGAAAAAGACAAATTAGTGGTCCTGGTCACTAGCCCTTACAGTGTTCCTGAGTGTTGTCCCTTCACTTACCTGTTTGAACTCTCCAACATACACCTTCCCCGTCGTGTCCTCATGACCCATCCTCGCTCATCGATCTTACAACACCCAGGTGCTCTTCTGCCCTCCGGTTCAAAGGCTCCGTAGAGCTGCCAGTGGCAATTACAGCCTCCCACGCTGTATTCCCACAGCCGTGTGAACAGTGACAGACCCGGTTATTTCTGGGTGAAAACGCTCAGCCCTGTGGGCCATGGCTCCCACTGAGAAGTGTTTGAGGAGGACCGGCTCCTGGTAGGTGGGCAGAGTTTCCCAGACACCTGTTTCATGTTCCTTTTGGTGACTCTTAGTTTCTGATTCTTTCTTCTCTTCTGTGTGGGAACAACTCAAAGGAAAAAAGAATATCCACTAATATCCTCCCAGAAGAGCAGCCGAAAGCTATTTTGAAGACCTTGGTTTCCAGGGAATAGGCGTGTCTTTGTTCTTGCCTTGGTCCTGCGGGCAAACTGCCTCATCCCAGGATCCAGAGGCTGGTGATGAAGGGGACAGAGGTGGTGCCCCCGGGGCAAGGGTGGGTGGGGTCGGTGTGTGGGGGGGGGTGGGGGCAGGTGGTCCCCTCTGGAGGCTGAGTCTCCTCCGCCTGTTGGAACACGCTGAGACACTGATAAGGAGAGACTCAGGAAATATTGAGAAATTAGACATTTCAGGCACCTTGTTCTAAAAGTTTTCTTCTTATTGCCCAACTCTTCGGCCTGTATTTTTGTTTTTTTTGGTAGCTCAATTTTGCTTGTATCTAATTACTCTTTTGCAGCAAGCAACAAAAAACAATAGCAGCAAAAAGTCCACATGAACTGGGAGGTCATCTTGATGTCTTTTTATAAGAGTAACAGCATGATTTTTTTTAGTAGCATGCATTAAAAAAAAGGTCTGCTTTCAAGGTAACAACATTTTCTGAGTTTTCATCATCTGCTCTGGTGACCTCCAGCAGCTTGGGAGACCGACCCCAGAGGTCACCTGGGTATTCCTTATGAAAACAATTGATTTTATTTTGAATGAACTTTGTTGTATTGTTGCCATGCTTTCTTTTGTCTGTTTTAAATGATATGCCTTTTTAAAAAAAGAATTTCAATTCATAGTCTTTCTAGGAGACACATTGTGTTTTTGGTTTGCTGCTTTGCTTCTTTGGTGAATTTTCTGTGACGAATGTCCTTGGCCCGAAGCCTAATGGCACGGCCGAATCGCATGCCCCACCGAGATGGGAAGGGTCAGGACCTCTGTGTCCGACCGGAGTAGCTCACCTAAGACACAGTTCGATACCCAACCGCACCGGCCCTGTAAGTGGCTTGAAATGGATTCTTGGTGATGTGACCACCTGGTGTCATCCCCTGCAAAGAGGATGAAGTCATTCATTCATCAAATATTAATTGATGCCTTATACCGTGAAACGGTCTGGGAATTCAAAACCCAGACCACGTGGTTCCTGCCCTCAAGAACGGCGGGGTCTGGCAAACAGGCCCAAGCACGACAGCGTCGACGTCGCAGTCGGCACGGAAAGCCAGGCGCTCGCTCGGGTGCGGGCGATGGAGGCTGCGGATGCGCTTCCTTTTATGTGTTTCAGTGGCCATTTCGATGGAAGGTTTAAGTCCAGTGCTTGTCCAATAAACCTTATTTTATTTTTCAGTGAACTTATTGGGGTGACATTGGTTAATAAAGTTATATAGCTTTCAGGGGTACAATTCTGTAACACATCATCTGTATATTGTCTTGTGTGTTCGCCACCCCACGTCAAGTCTCCTTCCATCTCTGTCTATCTTCCTTCTCCCTTTCCTCCCCCACCTCCCCCTCTCCCTGTGGTCATCACCGCGCCCTTGTTTGTGAGTTGCTTTTTTTTTTTTTTTTTGCTTAATCCCTCCACCTTTTCCACCCAGCCCCTCAACCCCCTCTCCTCTGACAGCTGTCAGTCTGTTCTCTATGAGTCTTTTTGTCTTTTGTTTACTAGCTTGTTTTCTTCAGTTAAATTCCACATATGAGTGAAATTATATGGTATTTGTCGTTCTCTGACTGGCTCATTTCACTTAGCGTAATACTCTCCAGGCCCATCCGTGCTGTTGCAAAGGTAGGGTTTCCTTCTTTTCTACAGCTGAGTAGTATTCTAGTGTGTAAATGTACCACAGTTGCTTTTTAAAAAGATTTTATGTATTTACTTTCAGAGAGAAGGGAAGGGAGGGGGAGAGGGAGAGAAACATTGATGTGAGAGAGAACATCAGTCATTTGCCTCTTGCACACACACCAACAAGGACTGAACCCACAGCCCAGGCATATGCCCTGACTGGGAATCGAACCAACAACTTTTCACTTTGTGGAACGACGCCCAACCAACTGAGCCACATTGGTCAAGGCACCGTAGCTTCTTTATCCGCTTATCTACTGATGGGCACTTGGGTTGCATCTAAATCTTGGCTATTATAAATAATGCTGCAATAAACATAGAGGTGCATATATTCTTTCGAATTAGTTGTTTGGGCTTCTTTAGATATATAAAGTCTGTCTGGAAAAAGTCCAGCCATAGTTACTATAACAAGAACAGTTTGCATGACACCACTGTAACCTGGCAGCCAAGGAGAGTGGACTGGAATGCACATGCATGAACAATGATGACTTCAATGTACTGGTCAGTGGGGGCAGTAGACACTGTTGAGTGAGCATGTGCACTGTGTGGCCATTGCATTCAAAATGACTGAGTGGGTAGAGCAACAAATCTGCATCAATTTTTTTAATAAGCCTGAACATTCCCCCGCAGAAACTATTTGGATGACTCAGAAGGCCGTGGCTATGGGCAACTGCTGATTGGCAGCTTCATCACGACAATGCACCCACTCATGCATCATGTCTTGTGCAGAGGTTTTTGGAGAAACATCAAATCACCCAGGTGACTCAGCCTCGCTACAGCCCAGATTTGGTGCCCTGTGACTTCTCGGTTTTCTCAAAACTAAAATCACCTTTGAAAGGGAATAGATTTTAGACCATTGATGAGATTCTGGAAAATACGATGGGGCAGCTGATGGTGACTGGGTCAACTGTGTGATGCTCCAAGGTGCCTACTCTGAAGGGACTGAGGCATCGTTGTCCTGTGTGCAATGTTTCTTGTATCTTCTTCAGTAAATGTTTCTGGTTTTCATATCACATGACTGGGTACTTTCTGAACAGACCTGGCAGTCCCAGAAGTGGAATTGCTGGGTCATAAGGCTTTCCTCAGTGGCTGTACCGATTGTCCAATAAACTTTAGAATGATGTTGTCTATGTCTACAAAACACCTGTCTGAAATTCGGGAATTGCATTAAACCTATAGATCAATTTTTGAAAGAATGTGACATCTTTGTCGAATCTTTCAATCTGCGAACATGATGTGTCTGTCCATTTATTCAGGTCTCTTTGATTTCTTCCTTCTGCAGAATTCAATCCTGTACATGTTTTGTTATATTTCTAAGTAAGTATTTCATTTTCTTTGGTGCAGTTATAAATGGTATGGTTTTAAATCTGTTTTCATGGGTTTTTTTTTGTTAGTATAGAGTTTATTTTCTGCTCCTCTCTTTTTTTAATCTGCTGTCAGGTGGAAGATTATCCCTTGCAGTGTATAGGAATCACTAAGAGAGCTGCTATTCTCAGAATTGCAGTTTCCCAAACACCATTTCAACCCCGATTTTCCCGAATCTTCATCTGAGCAGGGTTCAGATCGCCTCTGCATCCATGGAAATCTGTGATGTTTGCTTGGGACCATTGTGACTGTGTGTGTGTCGGACAGGAGTATATGTGTATAGGAGTATATGTGTCCCCTTTGATTCTGTGACATCTGGACCAATGATGAAAGCAGTGAAGTTGGAAGTGACCTTCTTTATTGAAGTGTGTACGTTCTCCTTCCTTCCCTGAAGGGACCCCCTAGACGTGTTCCCAGGGGAGGTGTCAAGGAAGCACAGGACGCCCCTGGGGAAAAGTGGCAAGCAAGGAAAACGTCAGTGGGCAGACGGGTCTCCCTGGCTCATATATTCTGAGACAGGCTCTGTGAGAAAATAGGGGCAGCTCCTTTGCTAAATATTCCCACTGGGCGAGACAGAGGTAAATTTGGCTAAGCTGAAAATATGTGAGTTAAGACTAAAGGTATCAAGTAAGGAAACAAACAGGAGCCTGAAGCTTCGCTACAGACAGTGAAATAAACAACAACAAGGAAGGGGTCATGTGTCTTCCCGGTCCCACCCCCAGAGCTGGTATAAAAGGGCGCCCCCTGCAGGAGGGGCATCAGACCTCCCTCACCTCCTGAGTCTCCCTGCTCGCCTCTCCTGAGTCCTCTCTCTACTGACACCATGGGGTGCTGTGGCTGTGGTAGACGCTGTGGTGGCGGCTGCGGTGGTGGCTGCGGTGGCGGCTGCGGTGGTGGCTGTGGCGGCTGTGGCGGCTGTGGCGGCTGTGGTGGTGGCTGTGGTGGGTGCACCACCTACCGAGTCGGGTGCTGCTCCCGCTGCTGCCCCTGCTGCTGTGGCTGCTGTGGGGGCTGCTGCAGCGTCCCTGTGGTCTGCTGCTGCCGCCGTTCCTGTGGCTGCGGCTCCTGTGGCTGTGGCTCCTGTGGCTGTGGCTCATGTGGCTGCAGGAAGGGCTGCTGCCAGCAGAAGTGCTGCTGCCAGAGGCAGTGCTGCTGCTAGGCATCCGGAAGCGCCTCTGTCCTTGGGCAGGAGACGCTGAGGCCTTTCCTCCAGTCTGTCCACCTGCCCTACCTGTTCCACCTGGTACTCTGGGGCTTACCTCTTGGGCTGTGGCTTTACTCCTGGGTGTGGGTTTCTATCCCTTCCGCTTTGGTGTTTTCGGTTTTCCTCCCTGAAACATTTCCAGTCTAACACTGAAGAGCCATGACGGAGACATGACTACAGCCCAGGTCCTGAACAGGAGCTGACATCACTGGTCAAAGAGGATGACGATTCCCAACGTTCTTTATGGGTATCTGATCATCTCTGCCCCCTTTCCAGTGTGTACTCCTATTTGTCAACAGCTGTTCTTTGAATTTCCTAATAAAATGAATCAAATGTATCATGAAAAGTCTCTGTTGTTGTTTTGATCTCCTGGAAGATCTTAATCTTCCTTCAAAGGCCGTGGTCTCGTCCGGGGTAGTGGAGCAAGGACACCTTTTCTGTCCCTGAGCTCCACAAACCAACTCACACACAACACTCAGAAGTGTGACTTTTATCTACAGTTTGGATTCTGTTCTGAGGCAAGAGTTTCACTTGTAGGTAGACCTGTTTTCCTAATTCATTAAACATCCTGTCAAGCCCTGGCTGGCGTAGCTCAGTGGATTGAGTGCGGGCTGTGAACCAAAGCATCGCAGGTTCGATTCCCAGTCAGGGTGCATGCCTGGGTTGCAAGCCATGGCCCCCAGCAACTGCACATTGATGTTTCTCTCTCTCTCTTTTTCCCTCCCTTCCCTCTCTAAAAGTAAATAAATAAATATTTAAAATAAAAAAAACAGTATTCTATCAAAAAAAAATCCAATGCTCTTCCTTAAAAAAAAAAAAATCCTGTCGTGAGGGTGAGGACTGACTGTGGGAGTGGGGGGGTGGGCAGGGCCAGGGAGAGCAACGGGGGGAAATGGGGACAACTCTGATAGAACAACAATAAACAATAAAAATTGCAAAATGTTAAAAAAAAGGAAAAGGAAAAAGAAACAAATCCTCTTTTATTCACAAAGAAGCAATCTACACAAATTTTCAGAAACACCTGCCACCACGATATGGACGACTGCATTTATCTTCCATTTCCATCTCCGGAGGCCATTTACGCCTCGTGTGGATGGCGGCGCTCCTGCCCTGCCCTGCAGCCTTCTCCCTTTGCCCTGCAAACCCAGCCAGCGCGCACGCGCAGAGCTTTGGCATCATCCCTTTGGCTTCTCTGGCTCCCCAACTACAAGACAGAGTGCCAGCAGGGGGCGCTCCGTGAGTCCTCACTGGCGGGCGGGGAATCGACCTTAGTTCTCCTGGTTCTCTAGCACCAGCCTCAGGTTACCCTGGTTCTTCCCAGGGGAGCTGCTGTTTGCTTTTCTGTCTCAATCTATTTAACTTTGACTGGGCTATGGTTAAGGCTTAGGGTTTCCTTCCAGTTCCTTTCAGATCTCGACAACTTATACATTGGTGCATGCTTTTGTTTATTTCTCCCCAAGCCCAGGGGCACCTTGACCAGCTGTCCAGCCTGCGGCCATCTGTCGGACTGTGGCCGTCCGTTCCTGATAGGAAGGCCATGGGTGGGTGAATCCATTTCTTTTATGCCTAGAGAGGGAAGTCGGCCTTAGTTAGTCCTCAGCAACCATCATTCACTTTGAAGATGCAAATACCAGTTTATCATTCAGGCCGTGAGTAACAGTGAGGATTTAAATATTTCAGAAGAGTCTTTACTTCCTGCTGACAAATGTTCATTGAGAAATACCTAGCTATAGAGGCCTGAGGTTCCGAGGCCAGTTCAAAGATGGAACAGTTCCTGCCCTGGAGTGTCTCTGGGTGAGAAATAGTTATTATAATCCATGGCCGCAGGTGATAGCTGCTGTGGGGGCTCCCCTCGGAGGTGGGGAGCGGGTTCCAGCAAACACCCAGAATGACGTCATACCACTGAGTCTTCTGGCTCCGTGGTCCATGCGGCCCTTTCAGTGCGTGTTCTCTCCCTCGCATCCTGCTTTGTCTTGGACCAGAGCCGGAGGGTGGCGGAGGCTGGCGTCACTGCAGTGGAGGGTGGGCCACCGCGGTCTTTGCAGAAAGTCGGTGCACCCCTTTACCACAAGCAGGGTCATTGGGGGGTGTTTTTTGGAGGGCCTAAATACCAAAAAGGTAAATAGGTCACCATTCAGAAAGCATTTCTGTAGTTCCATTGAACTCAGCAAATGTTTTTCATTTTCAATCTGGTATTATTCTCACTCAGTTCCCAAGCCCTTACAGGTCCCGAGCACATTTGGGCCGCTCGTCCAGACCACCTACATGAAGAGCCAAGTTGGAAATCGGGCTACAGACAGGAGCCTGCAACCGTTCACCAGCTGAGCTGAGATGCACGCAGGGCGTTCTCCCCGTGTTCTTCAGTGCCCGCCACAACCCCCGCCCCACGCACAGACCCTGTCTGGTTTCCTTGTGAATTTGCTGGTAGCTTCACGTGGTGGGAATTGTGTGGGCCGTGCTCTGGAAGAGGAAGCCAAACATGTCAAAGAAAGGCAGGGACCACACTTGTCCACAGGCCACATGGTGCATAGGATGGCAGCGTGTTCCTTCCCTTCAGACATCAGGGGTGATTCGTCACACACGCTCACTGTAACACAGCTTCCCTTCGGCCCGCAGCTCAGCCCGCCCACAAACACGTGCATTGTTGACACTCATCACGCATGACCAGAAGAGCGTGTTAGCTTGCCAAGGCTGCCATAACCAAGTACACAGACTGGGAGGTTTGAACAACAGGAATTTATTTTCTCACAATGCTGGAGACGAAGTCCAAGGTCAAGGTGTTGGTAGATTTGGGGTCTCCTGCAGTCTCTCTCCTGGGCTTGCGGGTGGCGGCCTTCTCTCTGTGCTCTCATGTGGTCTTCCCTTCGGGCGAGTCTGTGCCCTAGTTTCCTCTCCTTATAATAACGCCAGGCATCTGTGTTTAGGGCCCACCGTAATGACCCCCTTGTAACTTAATTATCCCTTATCTCCAAACAAGGCCGCAGCCTGAGGTCCTGGGAGTTGGGACTTGAATATATGGGCTTTGGGGGGAATGCAATTTAGCCCGTGACAAAAGCGCAACAAGGCAGAGAGATGTCATGGGCTTTGTCCTTCTTTTTTGTGATTTTGCTAGTGACCCATGTTCAGTGTAATATGGCCTTTAATATTTTCATTTCAGTAGCCCTTATGGATGTATACTTATCTTCTTTTCCATGCCAGGTTGTCACCTATTTAACTGTAGCAATTGTCTCAGTGTCCCAAGATGACCCAGCATGACACTTGGCAAATAAACATTCAGCAAGTGTCACTGGTTCCCCCGGTCCTGAGGCCCCTTTCTGACACATCAGCATCGACACTGAGTGTGACACCTCAGCGAATCCGGACAGCTCTGTGCCTTGTACTTACACCGACTGTGAACAGGCTCCCGTGTCCAGTGAGCAGGCCAGGACAGCGAGGTCCTAAGAAGCCTTACATCTTCTTGGCCAGGAGGGGCCGCATGACCCAGAACTGTGCCCATCAACCTTATTGTGTGGGAGAACTGCCTCTTGGGGTCCTTAGTGAGGAAAAACTGGGTAAGGTAGACGCATCACTCGTGACCTCTCCCTGCTCGCTGAGAACAGCCGCGTGAGAAGACGTGGTCCTAAGGGTGGAGTCTGGGAGGGGAGGGATGAGTGGGAGGGCATGGGAGGGCGTGGGATAAATCCCGGAGGCTGACAGTAATGAAGGGGCGCTGGGTGGCTGGGGGCACCTGGGGCTCTAGAGGCGGCAAAAGAAACAGAAACGGGGCCCGGTGGGCACCCAAACCGCCTTGTCAGCCTAGACCTCAAGGAGGCTCATCTCGTCCCCCCTCCTCAAACCCCATCTTCTGAATTCCACAGGGGAAGAGCCCCTTTGGGAGTTTCATCTGACACGGTCATTCAGTTCAGGCGTCCTCTGGTTGTTTCATGCTGTTTGCTCAGTCCTGGCTGTTTGAGCATCCACCTGTGTCAGGCTCTGCTCGGAGTGACAAGGACACACCCCAGGGGGCCTTGTGGGGTCGCCGGGAGCCTGTCTTTCTCCTGGGAGACACTCGGAAGGGGCGGGCTGCCTTCACCCCCGGGCCCCCTGCCTGACCCAGCAGGCTTCCCCTGCCCCTCTCCCTCTCATCTTGCTCTAAACCAGGGGTGCCCAACCTATTGGCATCTCCAGGCCACACTGGAAGAAGAAGAGGTGTCTCCGGGCCACACAGTAAATGCACAAATACTAACAAAAACTGATGAGCAAAAAAAAAAGTTTTAAGTAAGTTTACAATTTTGCGTTGGGCCAGCTACATAGCCATCCTGGGCTGATGTGGCCCATGGGCTGTGGGCTGGACACCCCCGCGAGACCACGATGCATCAAGAATCTGGAGTCTACCCAGAGAGGGGCCAGGGAGCAGACAGGAAATTAACAGAGGGGGCATTGGGGGACACATTTTATTGTGTATGTGGACTCCTCCAGAGAAGGCTGAGGAGGGTGATGGTATGAAAGTTGCTCATAATATGATTATGTTGAATCTAACACTCACCGGCTCATGTTAGCACAGAAAGCTGACTTTGTAGGTTGGAGTGGCTGAGAGATTTCCTTGGTGCCTGCCTGCTGTGACCAGAGCCGGGCTTTGCAGTCTTGGGGACAGCTGAGTCGGAGGACACAGGTGCTTAGGGAGCAGTGAGGGATGGATGGAAAACACGGGTGAACGACGGTGCTAGTGGCCAAAGAGATGTGACGAGACCCGAGCCTCCATTACTGTTGTGTTTTGGAGTAATTCTGGGCCACGAGGCCAGGACTCGAGATCAACAGGCAGTAGGAGCGGACTCTGGCCGCAGACAAAAAGTGACCATTGCAAATGGACCTGGAAGGTGGTGTTTTTCTAAGTGACCCGACGGCCGTGCAGGGTCTGTGCAAATGGTCACGCACTCAGATTTGTGTTGCCAGGACTCCATCGGGGAGAGATCTGG